AAAAAAAAATACATTCTTTTTCTTTTTCACTGCTTGCAATTAAGTCACAGCAACATCTACAAGATTTGTAGCGTGATCAGTTCTTATTTTGAGCCATTCTGTGGGTCTTTGCAAAGAAAACAAAGACACCATGAATACCACTGAATAAACAATGATCTTAGAGCATTACTAGTTGTTGAAAGTTGCAAGATCAGATAGAATGTTAAGATATAACAATTGCATAAAGGCTAAAAAAGTATCTATCATTTCTGCTCATCTCTCTGAAGTAATAATAATATTACTGATGTCAATGAAGGCTGACTAAGCAATGCTTTCATTTTCATTCATATCCTGTATGACCATGTGTCACCAGTGTACATTTAATTGCAGTCTGATAACCTCTTTAACCTTGTTTGACATTAAAAGGTTTCAATTCATAAAACAATGATCTCCTCAATAAAGTTAATTAGATTTGCAAAAAATGAAAACAACTTCCAAGGGTACTCCTACAGCACTTCCCATTCAACCAAGAATTCCAAAAAATTTGAAACATGGACAAATGGTTTTACATAATTTCTAGGGAAAGATTCCAGAAAATCCGGGTTTTTTCAATTTCTGAAAAGTGAACCATTCAACCAGAAATTCCAAAATTGTAATCCCAGTAAGAAATTGCTGAAAAAAAATGGTATACCTCACAAGGTTCTCCTCTTTTCCCGAAATTCCGGAAAATGCTGTTCCATTGGTTAGTGGGAACTTCTGGAAATGCAAACTGGAATTTTTACATAGAAATTATGGAAATTATTGCCCTTAGACAGGCTCTATTTTGGTGAACAGTAAACTCTATTTCTTGTAGATCTTGAATATTCTTTCTATGCTTACATTTATGGCTTTTATTTTTCGTTTTTCCGCAGTGTGGTAGATGAAGCACTTGAGGAGATTGTAGATCATATTGTAAATGGAATTGTGAAGCAGGGCTATTTGGTAAAGAAAGGCCACAAAATGAAGTCCATGAAAGAGAGATGGTTTGTGCTCAAACCCACTAACCTAACATACTTCACAAATCGAATGTGCTCAGAGCAAAAGGGGGTAATTACAATAAATAAGTCAAGCTCTGTTGAAAGTGTTGTGGCAAAGGGAAAGTACCGGTTTCAGGTTAAATGTGGAGAGAGTGGAACACACTATGAAATGGAAGCTAAAGATCAGAAATCCCGTCAGGAATGGATTTCTTGTATTCAAGCATCTATAGGTAAATAATGATAGTCAATTTAATCAATAGAATGACTGCCATCTATACATACACTGAATGTAAGAGCCCTTATGCAATCATCTCACAATGCATCTGCACCCTGTTCAATTAGTTCAATGTGAGCAAAACTCACTGTTGTTGGTAGCTATAATATTGTACAACTCCGATGGGCAAGCTCAATCTAGAAACACATTTGATCCCTGTTCAGTGTTGTGAGAAAATTACATCTCCTCGATACCTTTTATCTCTCAGAGCATAGGCGGATTTAGGGGAGAAGCCGAGGGGGCTGCGGCCCCCCTTTTTTTTCTTGTATTTTCAAAA